CTGTCCACAAGGCTCCCATGTGGCCGCCATCTTTCTTTCCAGAGGGAGGAGGGCGGAAGGGAGCAACACCCTTTCCCCTCTGGGCAGAAATGATTGCCTGGATTAACGCATAGTCCTTTCACTTTTCTGCTCCAAGCTGCTGGGTTCTGCATTAAGCCCTTGTGCTTCTGGGGCTGTGGCCGTGCTGGAGAGCCGCTCGTGGGGGGCAACTGGTGACCTCGGTAGGGCGTGAAGGACGGACCGGAACGCCCCCCTTCCCATGAGGTTTTAGTCGCCCCCACACCCCCGGCTCATACCTGCTGTCCACAAGGCTCCCATGCGGCTGCCATCCTTCTTTCCAGAGAAGAGAGGGCGAATGGGGCAACACCCTTTTCCCCTCTGGGCAGAAATGATGACCTGGGTTAACGCATCATCCGTTCACTTTTCTGCTCTAAGCTGCTGGTTTCTGCATTAAGTCCTTGTGTTTCTGGGGCTGTGGCCATGCTCCAAACTTAACTCTGATTTTCAGGGAGAAAGATTGGGTGGTTTACTTCTCATTGATCACTTTGTATATAGAGAGATGTCGCGCGGCCGCGTAAGCGGCCGCGCGGTTTTGAGAAAAAGTCCTCGTTCCCGCATACTCGAGCTGTGTTTGTAGAGGCTTCTGGTCACCAGGGTTCCATCTGGGGGAGGCGGGATGCGGCGCCTACTCCATCTGGAACTTCCCGGTGCTCTCGGCTCTTTTTGGAACCTGTTTTTTCTTTTTTCTTTTCCTCCGGGATCCCGCACCCTCCATGTGTTCCTTCTCTTATTCTGAACGTTTCAAAGATGGCGCTGGGGGGCGGGCTGTGGGCATGACTTCCGGGATCAGAGGTTACCTGGGAGGTGTAGTCCGGCAGATTTGAGAAAAAGTCCTCGTTCCCGCATACTCGAGCTGTGTTTGTAGAGGCTTCTGGTCACCAGGGTTCCATCTGGGGGAGGCGTCTTGTCTAAATTTTAATTTAGAACCTACACTAAAATATTATGTTTATTTGAATATTGCATTTCCTTCTATCCCAAAGATTGAAGGTAAATTCAACAAAGGCGCTTCAACAAGTTTAAAACAATAGGCATAAGAGTTAACATCACTAGCAAAGGAAAGAAAAGAAGAATACTAGAGGAAGAAATATAACTACATTTTCTTCCATATGATACTAAAGAAGCAAGAATAAGTTTGTTGCCTTGGTATAAATTGGATTGGCTGAAGCATTCTCACCACATGTAGATAAAGTAGATTTGGGATGGGGGAAGAAAAGGAGAAAATTTCATTTTTGCTTCATGGTAAAGGTAAAGGCCCTCCCGTTGTTCATCGATTTGCTCGAGCGGGCCCAGTAATGTCTCCATTGGAGATTTTGTTGTTACTGTGTTTGGCATATCGAATATATCATGGTGGCTTGCCAGGCTCTGCCATGTGGGCGAGATACTCTCGGTAGCTTGCTTGGCTCTCCGAGAGGGGCGGAGGAATCGAACTTGGGTTGGCCATGTTGGCTGCGTGCAAGGCAAATGCCCTGCCACTGTGCTATCGCTCCAGCCCTTTTTGCATCATGAAATTTCATTATTGCATCACAAGCAGCAGATACTGAATTTATAGTTAAAATGAATAGATTTCTATTATAATTTTATACCTGAAAATATTCAAGTTATCAAAAATAGGGAATTGAAAAGAAAAGGTTTTCATAAAAGGGTATGAGGGTGGGCTACTCAATGGTACCACAGCGACGCTTTCATAAATGTCTCTGTGGCTTCTGTGTCAATGGAGAACATAGTCATAGCATAAGCTCCAAGTTCAGGAAGTCACAGTAAGTTAATACATAGAAAATCGACTCATATTTATCTGTCTTAAGAAGATACTTGTCTTACACATACATTCTATTCCAATAGAACTGGTGCTGCCAGTAAAATGTCTTACTCAGGAATCACATGGGATGATTCCTGAGGGGCATGTATTAATGGACAGACACCGGAATATTCTACTTTTTGTATAAAGTAGATGGCAGTGATATTTGGATCAGATTTGGCATGTGTGGCAGCTCGGATAAGACCTTATAGTCTATCCCCCAAAGTAGGCCTCTAGCACTGAGACATTCTTCTTCTCCTTTAGAATTTGACTGGTTTCTCAAATAAAAATAAGTTAGACAAGAAGATTTATGAATTTACATACAACTAAGGGTGGGGGAGAGAGAGAGAGAGAGAGAGAGAGAGAGAGAGAGAAAGAGAGAGAGCACTTTACATAGGACAAGAATAAAGGCTGGTAGGAATGGAAGAAAGGACTAGTCATTGTCTATATGAAACATAAAACATTTATACTCCATATACTCTACATTTTGGCTTCTCCTTCCTTCTCTTCCTGCTACTTCTGCTATTTCTCCTTCTCCTTCATCACTGATTTTAAAATTAATAGGTTCAACCAGTTTTAGTGTTTAGAATATCAAATTGTGACCAGAATAACACACAACCTGTAGATGGGTAATTCTTATAGCCACATTAATATTGTAGAACAAGATAATGAATAAGGTCAGTATAGTTTTATATGTTTCAGAGAACAACTACATAATTGGATTTTTATTAGGAAAAAAATGAAGGCCTGAAAACAGGTGAGGAAGATAGAAGTAAAGAGAGTAATAGCTAAATGTCAAAGAAAAATTGATAGGCTAAAATATATTTGAGAGTTTAACATGTAAAAGATTTTCCTCAGAGAGATGGGAATTATCAGAACTAAAGGAGATGAAGGACATAAATAGTTTTTTAAAGTCTGGATACCCTTCCTTCTAGTTGGATTAGTAGAAAAGGAAACTTTAATTGAATTTACCTTCCAATCTTTTACATATCGGGGGTAAAAAAAAAAAAAGCATTTGCCGTTATGCAGTTCTCAGAATCTCACTAGAGGGTGGTATTGGTTCTAAAACCAGGGTTTGCTCCTCTACAGAATTTTCATTACTGGCTGTTGTATTTACACCACATATAAAATAAACCGCATTTTCAGTGCTCCCTGAAACTTGGTCAGGGTCAACTCTGAAATCAGGGTCTGATTTATTTGTGGCTCTCTGCTATCCCAGGATACAGAAAAAATAGTGAAGAGGTAAGTGCAGGAGTTAGGTGACAGGTTCTAATTTCAACTTCTTCACTGGTAGATGAGAAATTGAGGCTCCTTGGGCCTTCATCTTATCTGGAAATGAAAGGGCTACCCTGGATGAAATCTCAATCTCTACAATTTTGAGATTCTAACAAATTCTGGGATTGAAATATTGAAGAATTTCTCACTTTTTTTTTTTGCCAAAGGAGCAAGTAAACTCTGAAATAATTAATGATGAAAATATATTCTTGGGTTGAATATATTGAGTATAGCAGGTGGGGCGCTTGCCTTGCACGTGACTGGTCTGGGTTCAATCCCTGGTATCCCATATGGTCCCATGAGCACCGCAAGGAGTAACTTCTGAATGCAGAGTCAGGAGTAACTTCTGAGAATCACTGGGTCAGGTTAAAACCAAATAAAGACAAAAAAGAATGAAAGGAATAAAAAAACTTATGTTATAAATGAGGTTTTATATATATGTATATGTATAAAACTTAAATAGAACATATATATGTATATTCTAATAGCAAACTGTCAAGTCTTCTGTCCTACCAGGAATCAACATTTGCAGCTCTCTAAGAACTCTGGTTAACTTCAGTCACTTAATGCATCATCCAAAAATATCTTTTCAGTTGTTGCTAGCTTGCAGAAAACGACCGAAGTTTATATACGTTTATATATGTTTATCTGGAACGGAGGTTTAACTGTCAAAGGGGTGTGTTTTAGAGAGAGAGAATGTGTGTATGGGGTGGGGGCGGTTAATCTTCTTTCCCGTCTTGTCCTTACCAACTTCTAGCAAATTCATTCTGTTAGGGGTCACTCTCCAGAAGGAATTCATTGGTTCGATTTGCTATTACCCTCACCTCTTTAATAGGATTCCCTTTCCTGATTATATTTATAGACGTTGCAGATTGTACTGACGATTCTTTCATGAACCCTGAAGCAAATTACTCCAGGGTGTCGATTAACTGTAGTTTATCTTCGTATACGCATTGGCATGAGAGCCTGACGCTGCCAACCGGGCACTGCCACTCTAAACGCTTGGGCACCCCTTTACCTCCAAATTACGATGCCTTGCAGATGATACTTTCCTTCCTCTTCTCCCACATCCCCCCTTTCCCCATCCTTGGGTTTTGTTGCAACTCCAGGGTCTTTTCAAATACTGAAACTTGCTAAGATATGCCGGGAGCGCCTGCGGATGCGCCCCAGGGCGCGCGCGCTCACCCGGTCTCCCGAGTCTCGGAGCGGGGCCGGGCCAGCTCCCAGTTGCAGCACACATTCCATTCTTCGCGCTCGGGCACACCCCTCCGCACTGGGGATTGGTCGGCCCGAGCCCCCCTCCACCAGACGAGGCTCCTCAGAGGCTCAGACGACTGCCAATCCCCCACGGGCTGTCAAAACAAGTCTTCCCTCCCTGTCACAACAGAGCGGAGTGGAGGCCGCCACCGCCGCCGCCGCACTTCCTGGGGCTGCGGCGCCGCGGTCCGCGGGCAGGTGGCGGGTGCGCGGGGCCGCGGTCGCCCGGCTCCGGCCCCCTCTCGGGCCGCGCGCGTCCGGCCTCCGGGGCCGCCCAGCCAGCGCCCGGTGCCTTTTGTCTGGCGCACAGCGGGCGTTTGCATCCCACACCGGACACCTCCCTCTCCTCTTCGCCTCTCCTCTCTCCCGCGCACGTCTCCTTGGCACCCCCCAGCGCCCGCCGGACCGCCGCCTCCTGGACCTCAGCCCGCGGCCGTCTCCACCCGAGCGATGCCTTCTCTCCAGAAAGTTGTGGTTGCTGTTGCCGCCGCCGCCAGGCAGTGAAACAAAGTCTGGCGAGGCCGCCTCGCGGTGCCTGAGCGCACCCGTGCCCGGCGTCCGGACCCCGCTGCTGCCGGGCGTGTGCCGTTTCCCCGCGCCGAGCCCCAGACGCGCCGGGCCATGGCCGAGGGCGCGGCGGCCAGGGAGGGGGCTGCGCCTCCCGACGCGGTCGGGGGCGAAGAGGACTCCCGGGTGGGCCCGGACCCCGCCTCCGGGGACGGCTCGGCGGCGGCCCCCGGGGGCCGCTCGCGGGACCGTCGCAGCGGGGTCGCAATGCTGAGCGCTGCAGGCGCCCCGGCGGACAGCGAGGCCGTCCTCTTGGAGGCGGCGCGGGCGACCCCACGGCGCAGCAGCATCATCAAGGTAAGCCAGGCCGCGCCACCCCCGGGACTGAGATTGGGTGTGGGTGGGGGGTGCGTCGGGGACCCCCCCTCGCCTCTCCGTCCGCCCCCCGTAGGATGCACGGTATCCAGGGGGCGCGGCGGGCTTGGCGATGTCTTTCCTCCAGCTCCTTTCATAGCCAAACCTGCCTTCTTGGACTGGAGATTCCCAAGCTCAGCTCTGGGCTATGAGAAGCAGAAGTGACTTTTTTCCCCTTGAGAGGGAAGGAAAAGTTCCGCTCTGCGACTCGGCGTTTTGGTGGATGCTCTTCATTTTCTCTGAAAGCATCACTAACCTTTTGATGGAAGGAGGGCCGGAGGATTCATCATACTTGCAGACCCGCGGGATGGTTGTGCTTTGCTCGCCAGGCAAAGGGTAGATTTTCCCGCACAGGAAAGATATTTCCCTTGACGTGCGGGTGGGGGTGGGGTTCAAACCTTCCAGACGTAAGCGGTCCCAAAATCTCCAGACGCGTGAACTTTCCCTGTAGGCAGACAGAGTTTTTCAGTGAACCCTGCGGCAAAGTAAAGAGTGATGGAGGAGCCCAGAGTTTCTGCGCTGCAGAAAGCACGACGGGAAAGCATCCACCAGGATCCTGGTGGTTGCCGCCGCTTGCAGAGAAAAAGCTTTCTATGCCCCCAACTCCGAGGAGGCAGGATTTCGCTCTATCTTTTTAGCTAGAAATTTGACAGTGCCCTTCTCTTATCTCTTTCTGTCTTTCTTCCACTTGGGACTTGTGTCCTGTTGCAATTTTATTTTTTGGGTGCTTGACATCTAGGAACTCATGACCCTTCCAACAGTCCTTGGAAAAGGGCCTCAGTGTACATGCGCGGGAGTCATCATGAGCGTCTGAGATTTAAATTGATTTCGGGAGAGCAGTTAGTCTGAAGGTGCTCGTGTGTATTTTTAAAAGTTCGAAGGTGACTGTAAAGGATGTGCTTGGAACTACTTAACGATTCCATTTACTTAGTTTGCTGCTATGTTTAAAACCCTAGTTCAGGTTTAAGCTGTATGGTCTACACTGTGCGTCTCTGACTCAAACTCTCCAGTGCGGTAAGACCTGCTCACCTTAGGTGTCAGCTAGTCTTTTCCCCAATACTGGAAATTTGAAAAGAACAAGGAGGTTTCTAGATTAGAAAAAGAATGGACAGCAATACTCCTACAAATAAATAAATAAAATATATAAAAAGAATGTATGGTATTTGCAAATGTAGTTTCTGTTTTTTGGGGGAGCTCCCACTCATTGGTGCTCAGGGTTTACTTCTGACTTTGGGCTCAGAGATCACTCCTGGGATTTGGGACACCATATGTGGTGTGAGGGATTGAACCTGGGTGGGCAGCATGCAAGTGCCCTACCCACTGTGCTATCTCTTTGGCACAAGTTTCTGTTATTTTGTGACTTTTACATTTGTGATAAAGAGAGCCTTAGTCTGATGTGAATTTGGACAAAAAGGAAAGGATCATTTTTTCCCCCTCTTCTGTCTAACAGATTACAAAATATATTGTTTTGAAACTTAGGTAACATCATATTGAGAAACACGTTTGGGTTTAAAGATTTTGATGTTACACGTGGAACTGTGTGTGGCGAAATAAGCATCACGAGATAGTATAAAACATTCTGTCAGAAAAAGCTGTGGGCTCTATTGTAAAAAAATAAAAGTGTGAGCTAAATCTTGCAGCTAAGTTAACCACTATTGAATTGTTTTGTATATTGATTTATATTTTCAGAAGGGTCCTTGCTGAATACTGGTGCTTCATTTTGGGGAGTTGAGAACTTCCAGGCAGTGCTCAGGAGACCCATGCATCACTCTTGTAAAACCTTGTTGCAGTGCTAGGTCCCAGCTGCTGAGAACCTTCTGTGCAGGGCTCATGGGCTCACTAGACCTCCAGGGCTGCACAGAGGAAACAACCAGAGTCTGCTGCATGCAAGGGAAGTGCTTAAGCCCTCTCCTATCCCTCACATACCCCTCTCTGTGCCCAGGGGGCACACAGGCAAAGCAATGACCTATGGCTGAGTTGTACTCCTGGCTTCTTAAATTTATTTTCTTCTTTTTTTGTTTTTAGTTTTTGGCCACACCTGATTGTGCTCAGGGCTTTCTCCTGACTCTGTGCTCAGTGATCACTTCCAATGGTGTTTGGGAGATCATATGTGGTGCTGAGAACAGAACTAGGGGTGGTTGCATACAAGGCAGCTTGTGCCTTAACCTCTGTTTTATCTCTAAGGCCCTGAAATTTCTTTTTTTTGTGACTAAAAAAGGTAGGAGACACAGAATATCAACCTGATTGTTTCTCCATTTAATAGTAAAAATAATCATATAATAAACACGACTTTTAAAATTAAATATGTAAATGGATCAACATAGAAAGTGTCATGTTAAGTGAAATGAGTCAGAAAGAGAGGGAGAGACATAGAAAGATTGCACTCATCTGTGGAATATAAAGTAACAGAATGGGAGACTAACACCCAAGAATAGTAGAGATAAGGACCAAGTAAAGGATATTTGGAGGACCAGCTCCAGCTCCGGTTGGGAGATGGAAGCTGAATGTAGACTATAGATAGGAAACAATGGCCACTTAATGCCTCTAGTGCAAACTACAACACCCAAAGGAAAGAGAGAACAAAAGGGAATGCCCTGCCACAGAGGCAGGGTGGGGTGGGGTGGGGAGATGGGGTGGGAGTGGTGGGATCATTGGTGGTGGAGAATGGGCACTGGTAGAGGAATGGGTGCTCGATCATGTATGACTGAAATGCAAGCTAGGTCCCTAGCTGTAACTGTACCCCATGGTGATTCACTAATAAAAAATTTAAAAAAATAAATTAAATATGTTAGAAAATGAAGTGAATTATTATTTTTAGAATTAGTTATTACATTAGGAGAGTGAAGGGAAGACTCCTAGCCACTTAACATATCCACTTACATTGTCTACCTTTGCCTACCTTTATACCTATTAACACTTAATTTTTTTTTTATCGAATCACCTTGAGATAGTTACAAAGCTTTCATTATTGAGTTTCAGGCGTACAATGATTGAACATCCATCCCTCCACCAATGCACATTTTCTACCACTAGTTTTCCCACTATTCCTCCCTCAAGCTTGCCTCCTAATCCCCCCTCCACCACCCCCCCGCCCCCCCGCCCCACGTTTCTGTGGAAGGCACCTTCCTTCTTTCTCTCTACTTCTCTCTACTTTGGGAATTATGGTTTGCAATACAGATATTAAGAGGCCATCATGTTTGGTCCTTAGTCTACTTTCAGCACACAATGCCCATCCTGAGCAATCCCTCCAACCATTGACTTAGTGATCCCTTCTCCATCCTAACTGCCTTTCCCCCCAGCACATGAGACAGGCTTCTAAACCACGGAGCGATCCTTCTGGCCCTTGTCTCTACTGTCATGAGGCCTCTTAACACTTTTTTAGGGGTCCTCAGGGCTTACTCCTGGCTCTGTGGTCAGGGATCACTCCTGGTGCGGATCAGGAATCGCATGTGGTGCCAGGGATAGAACCTGGGTTGTCACGTGCAAGGCAACTGTCTTACTCACCGTATTTCTCTGGCTCCTATTAACACTTTTATTAACACTTTTTAATGTATCCTTCCAGAAATGTTCCCTGAATGTGTGTGTGTGTGTGTGTGTGTGTGTGTGTATACACACACGCACATACAGACCAGTAATAAATGGTTGATGATCCTGATTTATATCACAAATTTGACTAGAGTTTTACAGATTTTATATCTTTAGATTTGCTCCAAACATTTTTGGTGCATGGAGAGTTGTCCAAAATCATTGCGGAGTGAGATAATGTGTAAATGTTAACCTGTAGATCTGTGGTGGGCATTGGTCCTGGGGCTGTTCCCAAGGCCTTTATTCCCTCCCAGCAGAGAAAGAGAGAAGTGGTATGCACTGTTTCACTCACTTGATGAGATCAGGGGCCTGTCATTTAACATCTTAAATCTGCTTTTCCTATGGTTTATTCACTTAAGAGTAGTAAAAATGAGTTTATAAAAATGGCTTAGGTCACATAACAAATACATAGCACATGTTCTTTCCTGAGAAAAATAAACTTTTCTATAGTTTTTCTAAGAGAATTGTTCTTTGCTTTCTTTGTTTTTTGGGCTATACCTGGCTGTACTTAGGGCTTATTTTTTTTTAAATTTTTATTAGTGAAACACCATGAGGTACAGTTGTAGACTTACAAATTTTTGTGCTTGGGTTTCAGTTATATGGTGATCAAGTACCCATCCCTCCACCAATGCCCATTTTCCACCACCACGGATTCCAGTATCCCTCCCACCCCCCATACCTCCCATCCCACCCTGCCTCTGTGGCAGGGCATTCCCCTTTGTTCTCTCTCTCTTTTTGGAAGTTGTGGTTTGCAAAAGAGGCATTGAGTGGCAATCATGTTTGGTCTATAGTCTACTTTCAGCATGCTTCTCCCATCCTGGGAGGATCCTCCCAACACCCTTTATTTGGTGCTCTTAGGGCTTACTTTTGGCTCTGTACTCAACGATTATTTCTGGTAGTGCTCAGGGAATTGAACTGAGGTCAGCTCTGTGCAAGGCAAACCCTTATTCTCTGTATTATCACTCTGACCCAAGAGTTTTGAAATATTTTTTATAGGGACCCTGCAGAGTGGAGCTGGTTGCTGGAGGCTACTGGTGGCATTATGGGCCTGATCATTCAATGTTTGGGTCTGAAAGTTCAAAGTTCTTGGGGCTACCAATGCAATGCATTGGTGCTTGGGAGTCCATGATGTGACATAGATCAAACTCAGGGCCTTACACATGCTCAACATGTGGTTCGCCTTTGAGTTTTTTCTGGCCTTCTAGGAGTTATTATTTTTTAAAAATATTTTTTAATGACTCACCGTGAGATACAATTACAGACTTACAAAATTTTGTGATTTTTGTTTCAGTCATACAATGATTGATTACCCATCCCTCCACATGTGCCCATTCTCCACCACCAATGTTTCCAGTATT